AAAATCGTAAATTGGTATTCACATGGAGGCCACTGCACTGCCCTTTCTTCTTCCTTGTCTGTAATGGTGGAGAGCTGTCACTGTGCTTCAACCAGATCTCTCTCTCTTTCTCTCTCCTCCGACAAACCACCACACCGAACCTGAAAAAGTGAACCAAACTCGGAGAGAGAGAACCAAAGAGATTTTTCCGAATTTCCACATGGAAGACGAAGAGGAATGAGAAGAAACACAATGCAATTTTCCGCAAAGCAATGCTTGACCTGTGACCTCTGAGTTGTGACCATTCATCGTCTCTCTCTGGTAATCAAACGAAAAATCTCTTGATTCTTCATCCATATATGGATTTTTCTCTCCATTTTTGATTCTGATATTGCTCTCAAGGTGTAGTAGTAGTAATGGCGGAGGAGTAGAGGTGTGAGAATTTATTGCTGTTTAATGTTTTGCGTTGTTTTCTTTGAATGCTTTTAATACTTTCTTGCAGATTGAAATGCAGTTTGTTTATCTTTTGAATGCTCTTTTTTCTGGTCAATTTATTACGTCGAAAAAGCGATACGATGAAAGGAAAAAGGATATACTAAAGAGGAAGGAATAAAGAGTAAAGAGTAAAGAAGAGTTCATCTTCTGATTTCTAGTACTGTGAGTGATGATGTCTTTGCGGATTCTTTTTTCTGATTTGTATGTTTCTTTTTTCTGTTGTAGTTGACATACGTTCTGGTGAGTTTGGGGGCGCCGACGTTGAAGATCTTGATCTTGGTCTTGTGATTCGGCTTTGTACTAGTACCGATTTTAAAGATCCATCACTGACTACGAACGCCTGAGGAACTACTCGTTCTCTTATAGCATCGTCGTAATCGGTGGCGGTGATCTGATATTTCGAATTGTCTGCCAGGGATTCCGAGCTTTGCTGATTTATATGGACTGAGTTGGAGATCATCGGGAAACTTTGTTTTTGAGCTTTTGAGTTTTTTTTGGGAAGTTCAAGTTTGATTAAGAGTTTTGAGAGGCAATTATGTCTTCGTGGGAAACGCTTGGGGATATAGCCAATGTGGCCCAGCTTACGGGCCTTGATGCAGTTCGCTTGATTTCCATGATAGTGAAATCTGCGAGCACTGCACGAATGCACAAAAAGAACTGCAGGCAATTTGCTCAGCACCTGAAGTTGATTGGAAACCTGCTCGAGCAGCTCAAGATCACGGAGCTTAAGAGGTATCCTGAGACTCGGGAGCCTCTGGAGCAGCTTGAAGATGCTTTAAGAAGGTCGTATATATTGGTCAACAGCTGCCAGGACCGCAGCTTTCTCTATCTGCTTGCAATGGGATGGAACATTGTGTACCAATTCCGGAAGGCCCAGAATGAAATTGACAGATATCTGCGCCTTGTTCCTCTGATTACCCTCGTTGACAATGCTCGAGTCAGGGTATTTGATTCTTTTTTTTTTTTCCTCTCACAAGTGTCATTATTCATTTGTTTATTAGCACAATAGGGTCTTGATAGACGCATTTCCACAGCATTTCCCCATGCATGTTGACTTTCTTGCTCTCAATGAAAATGATTTCCTTAATTGAAAAAAGGGGAACTTGAAAAGATCACGGCATAGGAATATATTCAAATTGGAAATAATTGCTAGATGGTTGTGAGTTTTGGGAAGTAAAGCCTGTCATTGAAGAATCACAATAGGGAAATCTACCTCTGCCGTATACTTACTAGTTGAATTTGAATAGTTCATCCAATTTACTGCCTCTTGAATTTGAAGTTTTGCTCGAGATACACATGGTCTTTGCTTATTTGATAACATAATCTTACTATTAACTTCAAATTCGCAGGAGAGACTGGAAGACATTGAAAAGGATCAGTGTGAATATACTTTGGATGATGATGACAAAAGGATTCAGGATGTAATTCTTAACCCGGAACCTTCGAAAGAAGAAGCAATGGTGTTGAAGAAAACTCTTTCTTGTTCTTATCCAAACTTGCCGTTTAACAAAGCACTACAAAAAGAAAGCGAAAAGCTTCAGGTAGAACTACAACGGTCTCAAGCTAATCTGAATGTGGGTGAATGTGAGGTTATCCAACGTTTGATAGATGTCACTGAATCTGTAGCTGCAACTTCTCTTCCTGAGAAGAATTCACCTGAAAAATCCCATAAAGTAGTGGAAAATACATATGTAGATGACAACAATGGACCTTCATCTGATGAAAGTTTCTATAAGAATACTGATGCTCGGACAACCTCAAGGTCTGCTATTTTCCGTTTTCAGCTTTTCAGTAACAAGGTTCTAAATCACAATCATGTAACTAATGATCTTCACGGAGTTACTCCTGCAGTTTTAAAACAAAAAAGCGAAGATACTAAATAATTGAGTGTTCTATAAAATTTCCATATCGCAAATAAATTTCTCTATCATATAATGTACAACCACTTCTGTAGGCATGTCATGAATTATCAAAAACTACATGGTGGCTCATCGAGCTTGATATTGCTGTTTTTTTATTTGTTGCAGAAAGAGTTCTGTTTCATCAGGACGTGATCTGCTCTCAACTAGAGGTTCTGATCGGTATGGTGAATGGCACACCGACTTACTCGATTGTTGTTCAGAGCCTTCTCTGTGTATGTTATCCTCCTCTCTTCTAATTTTTAAAGGTTCATTGATAATGGGTTCTAAAGGAAAGGGGCTGGTTCATTGGGCATAATTCATACATATTCAGTTGGTATTATGGATGACAGAATTGATGAATTTGACATAGAAAGGTTCAAGAGCTCGAATAGATTAGACTGATGGTACTTGAAAAATCTGTTCTCTTTAATCGCAATGTTTCAGTGCAAGTCACATCACTCATTTGTTTTCAGGTCTCAAGACTTTTTTCTACCCTTGTGGGACATTTTCAAGGATTGCTACTGTTGCAACTAATAGGCATACATGTAAGTTAACTTTGTGTCATCAGATTTTCATAAGCAATTAGAGGTGGAACAAAATGTTCTACCCGAATTTATATTCACAAGTATTACTTATTGTTTCTGCCTTTTCCTGAAATGTTTTATTTGAATGAACCACCAGCACCAGCAGAAGCATGTAATGATTTGATGGCATATACATTGATACTATCGTGCTGTTGCTATACTTGCTGTGTTAGAAGAAAGCTTCGCAAGATGCTAAACATCACGGTAGTTCCCTTTTCTGCCTGATTAATTAATCTTCTATTATATTGACAGTTTAGTTGCAGATTAGAGAGGTGTTTCTCTTGTTTTTATCCTTCTTCGATTCTATTATTTTACATTAGATTTTGGTTTACAGGCATCCAACTCCTAAAAACCTGAATGATTGCTTAACAGACATAGATTTAGGATTCTACCGACTTAACTAAGTTTAGGGCATAACTCTAATATCATGTTAGCATCACGTCCCTCCATAATGTTATGATATTGTCCACTTTGAGTATAAATTCTCGTGGCTTTGTTTTTTGTTTCCCCAAAATGTCTCGTTCCAATGGAGATAGTATTCCCTACTTATAAACCCATGATCGACCCTTTAATTAGTCGATGTGGGACTCCTCTCCCAACAATCCTCAACATAAACTCGACCCTTAACTCCTCTCCCAACAATCCTCAACATAAACTCGACCCTTAAATCATCACTTGATAAGATTATATGCATAAAGAACTGAATAGAAAAGACAAGGACTGAGATCTGTGTGGCTAATTGACAGGGGGGTTTCGTTGACGACTTTCTCTCTCATGTTATGTGCTGCTGCTGCGCCCTTGTCCAAGAATGGCGAGAAATCGAGATATGCGGAGTTTACGGTATGGTGAAAGACATTTTTCTCATTATATTCTTTCTGGATGTGGAAACTTTCTGTTAATCTTGGAGTCTTTAGTGTTTGATATAAGAAGGAAAACATGCAGGTCCTGAAAAGACTAAAACAAGCCCTCCACCCTCCCAATACATGGAATCCTAAAGTACAGTCAAGACGCATATTCAACGGTTCGTTCGTAGTCTCCGAATAGTTTCGATTCGTGATAGAGTTATGTAATGGATACAGGTAACTCTAGTTGGCATGTAACTGGAAGAGCATACATTGGCATGTTTTTTATGTTATTACTCATTATACACACCCCCTTACCTATTGTATAGATTTGTTCTTAAATCTTTTACAGTGTTTCTAGTTGATTGTGCTGAGTTCAGCAGTAGATTTTGACCAAAGTTCACAATTGCACATCAATGGCCTGCTAGTTCCCTTCAGCTTAGTGTTTTGGTCATTTCTCCTTCTCATGACCATGCTATTATTGATCATATTCTTTCTTCATTATCTTTTCAAGTTTCTTACTTATCGTGTGTGTTTTGACTTCTCTCTTTCTCGGTTGATTTAAAGATGAGGATTCAAACCTCTGACCTTTTGATCAATAACATATGTTTGTCTTAGTCTGTTAAATTATGCTTGACTTGCAAATTTAAAACTAAGTCAATCTTGAGTCCCGTCTCTCATCTACTGAAAAGAGGGTAGGGGGGTAGCACGTTCTTTTTTGGGATTTATGTGTAGGCAAGGGTAAACTCAGACTCAGGTAGGATAGAATTGGGACAGACTAGGACTAAGAAGTACCTTGATGTGCTTCACGTGAAATATGTTCTGTGTTAAGTATATGAACTAAATATGTGAATGGTAGAAGAAAAGTATAATAGTCATTTTAAAATAACTTTAATTTTTATAAAATTTAAAATATATAAGTTTTAATTTAGTAATTAAATTTTATTACATGGGAATAATAATAAGCGTGATGGGCTGATTTAACTTAAATATTTGTGAGTTTTCTATTTTCTATTTAATAAATATCTAACTTTCTAAAATATTTTTTAAAATAGGTAAATTAAATAGATATAAATTTAAATGTAGAGGACTTAAAGAACCTTATAATTAAAAATAAAAAAAGGAAAGTGAATTAAATAACCGCCGGGCAGCGGCTGGCCCTGTGGCAAGAATCTATATAAACCGGTTCTTGGAAACCCAAAGTTCTCCAACTTTTCTTCTTCGTCATCTTCTTCACAAAAATCACCATCAATTTTTCTGCTAATCCAAATCCAATTCCATGTCCTCCTCCAAGAAGATTACTCTCAAGAGCTCCGATGGCGAGTCTTTTGAAATCGACGAGGTCGTTGCTCTCGAGTCTCAGACCATCCGCCACATGATCGAGGACGATTGCGCCGATAACGGCATTCCTCTTCCCAACGTCACTAGCAAGATCCTCGCCAAGGTCATCGAGTACTGTCACAAGCACGTCGATGCGTCCTCCGCCGATCCCCGCGTGTCTGAAGAGGATCTCAAGGCCTGGGACCGCGACTTCGTTAATGTCGACCAAGCCACTCTTTTCGATCTCATTCTGGTAACCTTTTCTTCCTGCTTTAGATCGATCGACTCGATTGTCTAGGGTTTACCTGGTTCCTATGGTTTTTTTTCTTCAAGAATTTGACTCGGCAAACAATCGCTTTGATTTTCTTTGTCGCTGATTACTGTTTTTCTTTATCTGATATATCTGTATCGACGTTTGTAATTGTGCTAGGGCTTGTTATTGTTTGATGTTTTGGAAATGGAAAGTTCGTTCAAAGGAAAAGTTCTACTGGAAATTGTTTAGTATTGTTGATCAATTGGTATGGTGCCTAAGTAATGGATTAAGATTCAATAGGACGAGCATGATCTTTTCACTTTGATGATTGAAGACGGTGATGCAAAATGCTTTCGGCATCATTATCCTTTGTCCTTCATGTTGAGATTGGGGTTAATGGACATCTGTATTTGGCGTCATATTGAAATGATTGTTGCTTAGGTTAGTCTTCGTGGTTCTATATTTAAGCCGTGTTCTTGTTGCAGAGAATTCCAAGCTGCCTGGGGATTCATTCTTGACTATTATTATTCTTGATAATTTCTTGATTTGGCGCCATATAAAATTCTCTCCTATATTCTACTCTGCAGGCTGCAAATTATCTGAACATCAAGAGCTTGTTAGACCTGACATGCCAGACCGTAGCTGACATGATCAAGGGAAAGACCCCAGAGGAGATCCGAAAGACCTTTAACATCAAGAACGATTTCACACCTGAGGAAGAGGAGGAAGTTCGCAGGGAGAATCAGTGGGCTTTTGAATGATTTGAAGTCTCATAAGAGTGCTCAAGGATCTTGATCAATAAGGTCTGTACATGGTAGTAGTATTCGATCTCTGTTGTATTCACATAGTTTGTGAAAATGGTACTGTATGAACCTAATCATAATTGTATCATGATCATGTTTGTGTGAGGAATGCATTGACTACCTAATTGTCTCATACCATCATTATGTTAAATTTTGATAGTAGCCTATACTCAAGATATCTTGTCTCCCCATAATTGAAGCCTTGTGAGGGAAGGGAGGAAGCCATGTTGCCTAGACTCTCTTCTCAATTCTCATTTCTCTGCTTGACTTTGTTTCTGTTGGATGTTGTGTCGACTGTTTGTTCCACTTCCGTCGGACTTGTGTGCTCTGTGTTTGTCATTGGACTTCTTTGTTATGTGTTTGTTGTTGGACTTCTCTGCTCGACACTTAGTTGTTTCTCCGCTTTGTGTTTGTCATCTGACTTATTAGCTAGGTTCTTCTTGGGTTCAATGTTTGTTAGCTTTGGTAATTGGTTCTGCCTTTGTATTTGGTTCTCTGATTTTGTTCTCGATTTTGGAATAACTTGTACCCAACTCAAAAATAGAGTTGTGTTGGGTTGGGTTGTAAAAATTTTCAATCCAACTAACCCAAATTTTTGGGTTGGTCCACAAAAATCTCTCAACCCAACTCAACATAACATGGCCCATATATACCCCTAATTGTCTATTATTGCCCAGCAGTTTGAAAATTTATTGAACGAATTCATTCATCGTGTGTTTAACACAGTTAAGTATTACTTGTATGAAAATCCAATATCAAGGACTATTTGTGGGCTCATTCCCCTTTTCACAAGTCTAACCCCCAACAATTTCTACCTAAAAATTATTTGCATCAATTGTGCTAATTCACTAAGTTTCAACCAACCTTGTATCTTACTTAACCCCAACTAAGAACTTTGAAGTGAATGTATGATTTAGTGTGAAACCAAGCGGAATGGAATCTCATTGCTAGCAGCAGATATTGTCCTTGTAAAGAATGTGTGCTAGATAGCTTTCTACACCTTTATAAAAGATGCTTCGTTCCTCTCTCCAATCGACGTGAGATTTCACAATCCACTCCCCTTTGCGGCCTAGTGTCTTTTGTACCCCTCTCCAATTACTGTGAGATCTTATAATTCACCCCCTTCGAGGAAGGTCCTCGTTGACACTCTGTCCATTCTCCAATTGATGTAGGACCCCTTAATCCTCCCTCTTCTAGGGCCTAGAGTTTTTGCTAGCACACCTCCTCGTGTACACTCTCCTTCTGGGCTCAGCCTCTTCGTTGGCATATTGCTTGGTGTTTAGCTATGATACCATTTGTAACTGCCCAAATCCTTTTGGACTTCCCCTCAAGGTTTTTAAAATGCGTCTGCTAAGATTTTAAAACACGTCTGCTAAGAAAATGTTTTACACTCATGAAGAATGATTCATTCTCCTCTCTAACCGATTTATGAACAAAGAGAGAAAAAAAGAAGTTTTGAAGAAGGATGGAGCCCTTCTTCTTTGTAGTCTCATATTGCTCTTCAATGGCTTCTTTGATTTCTGTGAGATTGATCTCAAATAGTATAGTAAGGCTAAGGCAATCAAAGCAGTTTGGTGGTCAAGTTTCCTTGAAGTTTGGGTAATCAAAGAAAGTAGTGGAGATTGGTGGTTGATGCCAATGTTAAAGCTTACACTAAATGGACCTTAAAACCAACCAATAACACATAACCTTTATTATTAGAAAGCTCAAAAGTAACTCTCCTGTTTAGGTGGCAACCACTTTGTGTATGACCCTTTACAATCCTCCTCCTCCTCCTCCTTCACCAATCCAACCACTCCTAACCCACGCAACATGTATGAAACACACTTAAAAACACCAAGCTGATGCATTCCAATTCTCTTCATTGATGACACATGGTTTTCAACAACCTCTTCTTCTTCTTCTACAACATCCTCATTGGCTTCCGAACCAGCCCGACACTCAAGCAAGCAACCCCGCTTCCTTGTAGTGCCGATTCGAGCCTTCGACCTACGACACCTGGTGATTGTGTCGCAGCTCTTTCGAGCCCTGAGAAGGTGTTGGAAGGCGAGACATGTTGTGTATGCTTGTCGAGTATGGGGAACAAGGGCAAAGATGAGGGAATTGGCACGAGTGTTCTTCCTTGCTCGCATGAGTTTCATAAGATATGTGTCGATCGATGGTTTGAAGAGTGTCGGAGAACTTGTCCGATATGTCGATATTCGATGGAAGGAGGAGGGAATCATGAAGATGGGAGTAATGAAATGCTAACGGATGAGATGGTGATATGGTTTTCTTCTTTCCACACCTCTGGTTTTTGAGCTTCCCTTTTGAGATCCCAACAAGGTTTAAATCAATATGATTTGACCAATGTGAGTTGGATGGTTCTAACTTCACAATATCACTTAAAGTTTGTAATTTGTTCATAACTTAAAACAAGTGGAGCCATTCAAATACATGTCAAATCTGTTGGTGTTATGGGTGATGGGAGAATCATAATTTAGTGGCTATTATCAACTATTGTTATTTTTAGTTCTTAACTGGTAGAAGATGGAACAAAAATACAATTATTCAACCCTATAACATTTGATACTAAACAAATCGTAGAATTATATTCCATCTATTTTGTTCAAACATATTATAAAATGTTACTACCCGACCTTTACTGTGATTGCGACACGTGACCGTTTTTGTTAGTTTCTTTCAATTTATAAAATAAATTAGATTTCAACTTTCAAATTTGTTTTAAAAATTACTCTTTTACTTTGAAATTGATCTAAAAGTATTTTTTTCTTTAGCAACAAAGAATGAAAATTAGCCTAACAACGGATCACTACTACAATTTATTTCATTATTTCATTGGAATGACGTTGTAAATAATGTCATGTATATCCTTCATTTTGTAACAACTCAATCTTACGGTTAGCTGGTATTGTCTTCTTTGCACTTTCTCTTTCGTGCTTCCCTTCAAAGTTTTTGTTTTTAAAACGCGTATGTTACAGAGAGGGTTCTACATCTTTATAAAGAATGTTTCGTTCTTCTCTCCAATATGGGATCTCACCGTCATTTTTACACATTAGTCATATATTTTTTAAAACAATTTCATAGTTGAAGGGAATAATTGCATTATTTACCCATGAAATTAGAACGGTGACCGATGAGATTTGGTTCGACTAAGTTTAGTGGTTCGATTCTCACCGAAGCTAACCAACTAGGTTCGTGGTTTGTCATTGTTATTATTTCTGGCACTTATTGTGGAAACAAAGGGAATAGCATAGGAATTGCTTTCTCTGCAGCATGGCTTTACCTACGCCTGTGGCTGAGCATTTCAGCCTATGATTGACATGAGACTGCCTACTCTCTCTCTCTCTCTCCATTTTTATTGAGTGTTTTCCTCACTTCATAATATGTATTTATGGAAATTAAACCAACAATTATTAGACAAACGTTTTCAGCATCTTTAACGGGTCGAGAGTACTCGAGAACGTGCAAAAGGGATTCAAAAGAATGAATTTTAAAAACTCGTGTTTAGGATACGGAAGTTCGAAATTTAGAATTCGTCTTCGTGTAATGGGTCAAGAGTACTCGAGAACGTGCAAAAAGGGGTTTCGAAAGAATGAATTTTGAAAACTCATGTTTAGAATAGAGAAGTTCGGAATTTACAATTCGTTTTCGAATAACAAGTCGAGAGTACTCGAGAACGTGCAAAAAGAGTTTCGAAAGAAAGAATTTTGAAAACTCGTGTTTAGGATACGAAAGTTCGAAATTTAGAATTTGTTTTCACGTGCAAGGGTTTGCTTCAACATGATTAGTTTCACAAACAAGGTACGATCATGTCTATCTCTCGAATAAATTGTTTAGAAAACAAAGTAAAAAGGTTGTTTTTTTTAGGTTTGTAGAGGAGGGGGACAAGGCTTTTCAGCTTAGACATGAGAGGAAAAACAAAAAGAAATTAGAATAAAGAGAAGGACAATAATAGAACCACCTAACCTAATAGTGACATAACAAAAGTTAATAATGTAGGGATGACATACTAAATTATTTTCTTACATTTCTCTATCTCTATCCCCTTTTTTCTCGACAAAGGTACGATAAAAAATTTATACTTTATCTCGATTGAATTATTTTTCGACATTAAATTTATTCTTTTGTTCCCTTTTGGTGACGTGATACAAAGTTTCTTCACGAACAATGTTATGTGATATTCGAGATTGAAGATATGTAAGCATGAACGTTAAGAACGACTTAAAAAATAGAAAGTTATTACTTCTATGGTTATACCAATAAAGTACACTTTTTTTTTTCAATAGTTCAATGATAACAAGCTTCTCTCTTGCAAGCTGTTCGAGACAAATAAGATCACGTGACTAGGTCGTAGGGACGTAAAGAAATGCGCGAGCTATCAAGGGTCAATTTTGAACTTGAGACATGACATCGACGTAAGGAAAGATACCTAAGTACGAACATTAAGAACGACTTACAAGAATCAAAAGTTATTACTTACATGGTTACACCAAGAAGATACATTTTTTTTTTTTTTTGGATGACCACCTGAAATTTTTTTTCTTAGAAAATGTGAATGAGGACAAAACATGTTGAAATGAACTGTGCTTGGTTGATGGTAACAAACTTCTCTCTCTCAAGCTGTTCGAGACAAATAAGACCACGTATCCAGGTTGTGGGGATGTAAGGGAACGCTCGAGCTATCAAGGGTCAATGTTAGGTTATAACTTTGATCTAAATCTTGAACTTGAGACGTTGAACTAGAGATTGATTCCAATGAACCTGAAGCCTGAAAATTATCACGTGACTAGGTTGTAGGGATGTAAGAGAATGCCCAAGCTATCAAGGGTCGATTTTGGATTATAACTTCTAATCCAAATCTTGAACTTGAGACGTTGAGCCATCGATTCATTCCAATGAACCCAAAACCTAAAAATAAGACCACGTGACCAGGTTGTGGGGATGTAAGGGATTGCCCGGGATATCAATGGTCGATTTTGGATTATAACTTCTAATCCAAATCTTGAACTTGAGACGTTGAACTAGAGATTGATTCCAATGAACCTGAAACTTAAAAATAAGACCACGTGATCAGGTTGTGGAGATGTAAAGAAATGCCCGAGCTATCAAGAGTCGATTTTGGATTATAACTTGTTATCCAAATCTTGAACTTGAAACGTTTCATCTAAAAT